GTGTGTTTCATTACTGTTTTCTTCTCATTTTTTGTTTCATTACAACACAATACCATTTCACTATCAAAATAAAAATAAAGGAATCAATCAATTAGTGATAGCAAAGCTATAATTCAAGGCCTAGCCCACTTTCAGGGAAATCAGCTCTGATTTGTGGCGCAGTTCTTCAGAAAGGCTGCTGTATGCTCAACAGCAAACACTAAAAGGGCAGAACCTGCATGAAGGAAGCTACTAATTAAAGTTCTGGAGGACTCCTGTGGAGCAGGACTTACCTGTGAATAAATACCAGAGAATACTGCGGTTGGGATAAAGCAGTGGTTCTCAAACTGGGGTCCCCAGATGTTCTTGGACTACAATTCCCTGAAATCCTGGCCAGCACAAGTGGTGAAGGCTACTGGGAATTGCAGTCCACAAATATCTGGGGACCCCAATGTATACTGGTCAAAATCCTGTTATTTAGTGTAGCAAATTGCACTAGGGTAGGCCCATGGAATCCGTAGGGATTTGAATCAAGTCCTCCATAAGTTCCATTGATTCAGATAGACAGAGATGTTGTCCATTGGATATGGCATTGACTAGCTCTTGAAAAACCCGAAGGTCCTTTCTCTACGGATATTGTACTGTACTTCCCTGCTAATTTAAGGAACATATGATTGTGACCTGGATTATCTGTGTGAATTATCTAGCTAGGCTCATGGTTATTATTTTGGGGATCACATCAGCCTCAAGATGCACTGTATTTGCCAGAGCTCTGAAATATTCTTTTCCTTTTTTTCCCCTTTTTGACAAGTAACATTTCTAAGCTCTGGTATTTACATACAGAGAGTATCTTAGATGGCCACTGCCAGGCTAAAAGTGTGCAACATTTTATGATGAATTATGGCATGACAATTTATTTCTAGATTCAATTAAGGTTTGCTTTATTGCCAAAATCTCTGTAGGTTTGCAGGTGAGATGAGCTGGTCAAGATGGGAGTCAACACTGTCTTAGGACTTCTGTTTCCTTAGCAACTATAACCATGACTACCAGCATCTGTTTGGAGCTTTAAGGGGCAAGCAGGTTCCGCCGCAGCACCCGAGCATATGCTTACAAGGAATAATTCCATAGTCATTTCCTGCACATTTTCCTTCCTAGCTAGAACACATTTATTTGAATTTGTGGGCTTCAGGGTGGGGGTGGCGACAAGGAAGAGTATTTAGTGAGGATGTGAAAAACTCAGTCTTCATTTTATTCATTCGTATTGCCATTTCATCCTTCATTCATATCAGACGTTGTTTTTATTTTCATCATGCAAATTAGAGATGCATTTTCTGCACATATTGTTTTGTAATGTACAGATTCAGTTGCACACTTTTTTGAAGATCCATCTATTTCTACACACATGGCTTTTTTAAGCTGAAATATATTTGTGTATATTTAGTTGCACATATTTTTCGCTGTTCATATTTTTAAAATATATGCATAATTTTGTATGCATTCTATTTCTCTGAATTATATTGTAAGCTTTGCAGATTACGTGTTTCTGGAGCAAGGTATACTTTGTCTCACGCTGAGTCAGGAGGGGTGAAATATATAATTTCAGCAAGTGTCTCAACTCCACAAAAACACTTTTCCGTTTCTAGTCAAGTGTAATTTGAAGAGAAGTATTTTTGAAATAAAAACAGCCAGGACAAAGGAATTTCTCCTCATTTAGTCGTATGGTCACCAGGCATGACTTTAATTCTGATAACTCAAACCCAGATTTTGGAAAATGGAATAACACAATAGAGATGTAGAGAGTATTAAAAAATAAAATGAAATAAATCTGATCCTCAGCTGCCTTCAAGGTCTTAACATGTTAATATTCCTTGCCAAGATTTACCGCATCACCAGTAAGATAACTTGACTTCCCATGAAAACTAGACCCTGATATTATTTTCCTCATTTATTTTTACTGCTGGTGTTTGACCCGTCTTTTGCAAAGGAAACCAGATTTCCTTTCCGGTGGCTCTCTCTCTCTCTCTCTCTCTCTCTCTCTCTCTCTCTCTCTCTCTGTGTGTGTGTGTGTGTGTGTGTGAAGGAAAGATGCCATTTTGCTCAGGAATTGTAATCAATTTGTGCAGATTGTCGTTTCTCCTGGTGTAGAAAAAAAAAGGCTATGGAATATCTGAGATTCATGTGAGGTTTCCCAAGGAGAAAATCCATTTGCCCATTGGAGAAAAGGGAAGGGGAAACTAGTAGTTTTACTGTGAGGAGAAAAGATGTTGTCTCTCTGTTTCGCAAGAGCAAAATTCACATCCCTAGAAAAACGTCCTTACACTTCTATGCATTTACTCTTGTTTGTTTAAAAGCACTGATTTTTTAAAGACCACAGGTTGCAAACTGCTAAAATCATTTCAGAACTACAACTGGAGCCTAACTAAACCTTGTATTGTTTTGTTTTAAGCTGCCGGCCTGGATAAGGCCTTCTGGGAGGTGGGGGTGGGTTGTACGATGGTGATTGTCGAGCTTTGGATGCTAATACTTGGCTTTACCTTCTGTGTCTCTGCTGGAGACCGCAGGGTTTCAGCTGATCTGAGTTTAAACCACAGCTCAGCCAAGATCATGCCCTCCCGGAGACTCTCTCTCTCTGAACCCTGGGGGTGGGCTGCTTAATGAACCAGACAACTGCATCAGCTTTCCTGTGAATTCACAGCCCTGCTCCCCTTTGGATTTCCTTCTTGTCTGTCTTTCCTCCCCTCCCCCACCTACTCCTCATTGTCTGCACGCTCTGCTTTCCCTCTCATTAGCAAATGCAAGTTCTAGGCCTGGTTGAGCTGTTGAGTGACAGGATGTCAGAGTCACTAATCTGGATGACCCAGGTTTAAGGCTCCAGTTCTTCAGCCGAGCAAGAGAGCTTCATGGGACCCAATTTGTTAAAAAAACAAAAGGGAAGAAAATAGAGGACCCTGACTCAGACTGCAGAGACTGGACTGGACAAATGTCTTAGGATGATTAGCTGCTATAGAAGCATATAGGTTTGCAACAAAGGACTGAGAGAAGTCAGGGGCTCGTAAACATTACTTTTTTGAAGTACAGCTTCCAGTGACCCTGCCAGCGGATGGATTCTGTGTTCAAGAAAATCATTTTCCCATCTCAGTTGAGAATAAACCCTACTCCCCACCCGCAAGATTCAGTCAGAAGATGTTTAGATATGTTACCTCTTCTGTATTCATAAGAAAATCAGCCCTATAAAGGGATCCTAGCACTTCTTTCTCTCTTGTGGGAGTAGGGAATGGGCGTACATTTTCCTGTGGATCACAAAAGCAAATCCATATCTTGTAAAAAAAAAATCCATTTAAAGACGTGGCATCCTTTTCCTAGCACAAGCCATTTCAAAATGTGTCCAGCAGAGATTTTTTTAAAAAGTGCTTTTGTCCTATCTGGGTCTTTATTTTCCTCCGTTGTATCCTTTTATTGCTCCAGAGTACTTTCAGTCATCTCCACAAGCAGCTGTGCCTTCATGCTGGCCCAAAAACAGATCGGTGAATACCTGGAAAGCAGGTGGCATTGGAATTGCTCGGGGAGGGGTGTATTCATCTGAAACCCCTACCATTTGCTTTGTTCCTTTATATTTGCTTAAAAACAAGGCTCTCAGAAGGTGCCCAGTGTCCACCAGATCCCTAGTTTTTACATGTGGCATCAAAACAGAGGCCCTCACAGTGATATCAATTCACAATAGTTTCCTTTCTTTACAGAGATTTACTTTTGTCTGCTTTTCTCCCTATCTTTCTATTCTAGCCTTCTCCACTAGTCCCGTCCAGATAATTTGAACTGCAGCTCTCATCATTATAATATAGCATGGCTGGGCTGGTTGAGGAATAATGGGACTTGTAGTCCGCTATATCTAGACAGCACCAGGTTAAGGATGGTTGATTGATCCATTCTTCAAAATATTTTCCTCCAAGAAAAAGAAGGGGTGGGTGGGAAGTTATATGTTATTACATGTAATCCATAAGCAAGGACAGGCAATTCTTACATTGGACCATTAAACTATCAAAATTGGGAGAACGCTTGAGTTCTGCAGGAGTCTTCCTTAGGCTAGGCTAGGAAATGAAAAGCTGGCAAGAGGAAAAACAAACAAACAAAAAAAGTCCCAAAACTGATGAATAAGCTGAACAGCCTAAGTAACAAACTAAACACTGTATTCCTTGTTAGTTTTGGACTAGAGTCAAATCATTATGTAGTCTGATTTTATATATGTGCTGTGGGTCTTTTGAATATTTCAGTACTTCCTGTCTTTATAATACAGGATACATGGGTTTAAACCACTCTGGATCATGAGCTGAATTAGTGTAAATAATTAGGAAGACATGCAGTGGCCCAAACTCTCCTGGTATTCCAATATGGGTTGCTTAACTCGTAGCTAATTGCAGCTAATTCATGAGGTACCTGGGCACCCCTCAGGCGTATGCCTCATCAGAGGCCCAGTTGCTGCACAGCTGAGATGTACCCCAGGGCCTAATGAATTATCCACAGCTTGGCAACTTATGCTAAGAGCATGTGGTGAACTTCAGCAAAAGAGTGCTTTTTATTCTTCAACCTGAATATGACATTGGGATATGCCCCTTTAAAATGCCAACATAAAATGTAGATGTTAAATTTTGTTAAAATTGGTGGCAGTGCACATTTTTGACAGGAATAAATTCTTTCAAGCCACAATCTTAGTTTATATTTACAAACCTTAAAGGCAGCATCAAGTTAATGAGTGGTTTATGAGCCTACCTGTAATGTCTTCAGCCCCCATCATCCATTTTACGTTACAGAGAGGAGAAGGCTGCTGTGACAGAAACTGTATGCTGTTTCATTTCCTTTTTGGGCCTTT